AACCCTACAGGAAGCCCGTAACTAGGAGAATATGTTAGAATCCAGAACAGTTAAGTGATGCCTAGCACTAGGGTCTCCTAACTCTTTGATATAAAACCACATTTTCAGTTGCTTATAACTTTGTCAAACTTTAACTATTTAGTCTAATTTAGAAGTTGGTCCAATAAAAGATATTACTTCAGCCACCTTGTCCTGGGACCAACACAGCTACAATACTGCAAGAATTAAAGTTGTCCGTGCAACCTTAATTTGGCCCCCTTGGGCATATGCATTCCAATACAGTCTTTAATAGTATGATTACATACTTGTTTTCCAGAGGACCCCTGCCTCATTCACTGCGCAGGATGGAGAGTGCTCTGGGATGAATCAGGGTGGTGCAGTGAAGGAGTCTCTTATCTGTAGAACCTCATTTGTTGCAGAAGTTGGAAGGTGTGTAGTGCATGGGGCAGGGGTCTGCAGGAAGAGAAAGGATGGTTTCATGGTTAAGCCACAGAGTTCCTGTAGGATGCAATGTTCACAGCTGGTCATTAATTGTTTGTTCCTTGTTTTCTGGGTGCCCAGCGTGAGACACTTGGGTTTGAGTTGCAGAAGTGCTGAGCACCCACAGCTGCAGCTGAATTCACCAGGAGCTGTGAGAAGATATTGTAACTGCCTGTTCTGATATAAAGTGCTATAAATAAAAGTGTTCAGTCAAATTCAGGTGCTAGGCATCTCAAGTTGGACACTCAAATTAATTAATACTTTTGCCTTTAATCTAGCTGTGCTTTAGTTCCCCAAGTGTAAAATGAGAATAACACCGTCTCCCCACCTCCCACAGGTGTTCTGAAGTGCTCAGGTACTGTAGTGATAAGCACCACAGAAAAGCCCATTAGAAATTAGTAATTCTGGTTTTGGTGCAGGTTTTGAATAGTGGACAGTAAATAAGGCACTGGGCCACACCTTAAAGGATGAAGATCAATTCTGAAGCACTTTGAGGAGAGGAAAGTCATCAGGAACCGTCAACATGGATTCACCAAGGGCAAGTCATGCCTGACTAATCTAATTGCCTTCTATGATGAGATAACTGGCTCTGTGGATGAGGGAAAAGCAGTGGATATGTTATTCCTTGACTTTAGCAAAGCTTTTGATACGGTCTCCCACAGTATTCTTGCCAGCAAGTTAAAGAACTATGGTCTGGATGAATGGACTATAAGGTGGATAGAAAGCTGGCTAGATCATCAGGCTCAATGGCTAGTGATCAATGGCTCCATGTCTAGTTGGCAGCCGGTATCAAGCGGAGTGCCCCAAGGGTCAGTCCTGGGGCCGGTTTTGTTCAATATCTGGAGAGAGGCTGGTGTGGATTGCACCCTCAGCAAGTTTGCAGATGACACTAAACTGGGAGGAGTGGTAGATACACTGGAGGGTAGGGATAGGATACAGAGGGACCTAGACAAATTAGAGGATTGAGCCAAAAGAAATCTGATGAGGTTCAACAAGGACAAGTGCAGAGTCCTGCACTTAGGATGGAAGAATCCCATGCACTGCTACAGACTAGGGACCGAGTGGCTAGGCAGCAGTTCTGTAGAAAAGGACCTAGGGGTCACAGTGGACGAGAAGCTGGATATGAGTCAACAGTGTGCCCTTGTTGCCAAGAAGGCTAACGGCATTTTGGGCTGTATAAGTAGGAGCATTGCCAGCAGATCGAGGGACGTGATCATTCCCCTCTATTCGGCATTGGGGTGGGGCCTCATCTGGAGTACTGTGTCCAGTTTTGGGCCCCACACTACAAGAAAGATGTGGAAAAATTGGAAAGAGTCCAGCGGAGGGCAACAAAAATGATTAGGGGGCTGGAGCACATGACTTATGAGGAGTGGCTGAAGGAAATAGGATTATTTAGTCTGCAGAAGAGAAGAATGAGGGGGGATTTGATAGCTGCTTTCAACTACCTGGAAAGGGGTTCCAAAGAGGATGGATCTAGACCAGGGGGCGGCAACGTTTGGCACGCGGCTCGCTAGGGTAAGCACCCTGGTGGGCCGGGCCAATTTATTTACCTGCTCACGCGGCAGGTTCGGCCGATTGCGGCCCCCACTGGCTGCGGTTCGCTGTCCCGGGCCAATGGGGGCGGCAGGAAGCTGCGCAGGCGAGGGATGTGCTGGCCACGGCTTCCCACCGCCCCCATTGGCCCGGGACGGCGAACCGCAGCCAGTGGGGGCCGCAATCGGCCGAACCTGCCGCGTCAGCAGGTAAATAAACTGGCCCGGCCCGCCAGGGTGCTTACCCTGGCGAGCCGTGTGCCAAACGTTGCCGACCCCTGATCTAGACTGTTCTCAGTTCTCAGATGACAGAACAAGGAGCAATGGTCTCAAGTTGCAGTGGGGGAGGTCTAGGTTGGATATTAGGAAAAAAATTTTTTACTAGGAGGGTGGTGAAGCACTGGAATGGGTTCCCTAGGGAGGTGGTGGAATCTCCTTCCTTAGAGGCTTTTAAGGTCAGGCTTGACAGAGCCCTGGCTGGGATGATTTAGTTGGGGATTGGTCCTGCTTTGAGCAGGGGGTTGGACTAGATGACCTCCTGAGGTCCCTTGCAACCCTGATATTCTATGATTCTAAGATGAAAAGATATTGAACAGCTGCCTCGTTCCTGAGCACAAGGCACCCTGAGCACTGAATGAGGCCAAAAATGTGGAAAAATTAATATGTGATCATGTAATAAAAGAATGCAGCATAACATACAAGGGGGCCGAATAAAGTTGCATAGGTAACCTTTCATTCTGGTATTCCATAACTTCTGACTGCTTGACTATGCATCCTTAATAATGTTCCTTAATTTTAGTTTGTTGTACAGAAAAACAAAACAAAAAAACAACCGACCAACCAACCAAACCAAACCCAAACAGAAATTCCATTTTGTGGAACTGTACTGACCCCTCAAGCTGGGTTGAGGATAGTCATATCCACAGCACAGCCCTCTGCCATTTGAGCTAAAGGACTAGCTTGTTATCCTCTATGTGTACCAGCCACTGACTAGAGGGTAGGCACTTGCCAGTGAGTTACACAACCGTTTCATTGACAGCAGTGGAACACAGTGAGCCAGGATTTGTGGATTTTGTTCTTGGCTCTGGGAGGGGAATGTTGTCTAGTGGTCAGAGAGCAATAACCAAGCACATGGACTTGGCACATTACTTCTGAGAGAGAATGTGGCTAAGTGGATGAGACTTGAGTCTGCCCTACTAGGGACTTGTGTTCTATCCCAGGAGTCTTTTCTCAGGAATAAGGGAGCGCAGGGCACAGAAGTATCACCACCAGTCAGCAAACGAGGTGAGACTTAGAATCATAGAATATCAGGGTTGGAAGGGACCTCAGGAGGTCATCTAGTCCAACCCCCTGCTCAAAGCAGGACCAATCCCCAACTAAATCATCTAGGGTGACCAGATAGCAAGTGAGAAAAATCGGGACGGGGGTGGGAAGTAATAGGAGCCCATATAAAAAAAAGCCCCAAATATCAGGACTGTCCCTATAAAATCGGGACATCTGGTCACCCTAAAATCATCCTAGCCAGGGCTTTGTCAAGCCTGACCTTAAAAAAGGAAGGAGATTCTACCACCTCCCTAGGCAGGGCCGGCTTTAGGCCGATTCAGCCGATTCCGCTGAATTGGGCCCCGCGCTAAGAGGGCCCCGCGCCACAGCTCTCCACCCCACCCCCAGCTCACTTCCCCCTCCTCCCCTCCCCTGAAAGCTCCGCCCCCTGCTCCTCCCCCTCCCCTGCTTCCCACGAATCAGAGGTTCACGGGAAGTCTGAAAAGAAGCAGGGGCAGGCAGGCAGCACCAGGTAAGCTGGGATGGCGGGGGGCACGAGAAGGGCTCTGGGGAGGCACGGCCCAGTCCGGCCCCGGTTCCGGCCGAGCGTGCCGGCCCCAGCGGCCCCCGCGGCCCAGCTCGGGTCCGGCCTGGCCCGGCCCGGCCCCCGCGGCTCGGGTCCGGCTTGGCTCGGGCCTGGCCCCCGCGGCTCGGGTCCGGCCCGGCCCCAGCGGTGCGGTGCGGCTCGGGTCTGGCCTGGCCCCCGCGGCGCGGCTCAGCGCAGCTCGGGTCCGGTGCGGCCCCCGCAGCGCGACTCGATTCCCAAGCCCGGCTACCCCGGCCGGAGCGCGGCTCGATTCCTGGGGGCGGGGCTTGCTGCAAGCCTCGCCTCCAGGAATCGGGCCCCGCTCTTGCTAAAGCCGGCCCTGTCCCTAGATAACCCATTCCAGTGCTTCACCACCCTCCTAGTGAAAAAGTTTTTCCTAATATCCAACCTAGACCTCCCCCACTGCAACTTGAGACCATTGCTCCTTGTTCTGTCTTGAACTCCTGGCTCTCAGCCCAGTGCACCTCCCCCTAGGCTAAGAGGTATTGGAATTGGGGGCAGAGGCTGGCTAGTGTGGGCCACTCACTGAGGCTGGGGAGTATGGCCTGGGGAGCTGGAATATTCAGACAATCACAAGCACACATACACATATGTACATACATGTGCACACATATATATGTACATATACACACGTACATACATGTACACACGCACACACACAATCCACTTTCATGCAAGAGCAGTTACCGAAAAAGCTCAGCCTGAACAGGTAAAGTTTGGCATCGGGGGGTATAATGGACAGGGTTGGGCACCATGGGTATCGCGGCTGCTCTGCCTATGGGAATCCAGCTCTGTCTCCTAGAACTTGGCCTGTGGTGCAGACGCCCAACATAAGACCCCAAGTGCCACTTCTTCTCACATTGTAGCGATGGGAAACCGAGGCACAGCAAGGTCAGAGTGACTTGCCCAAGGTCACCCAAGGAGACTGTGGCAGAGCCTAGTCTTCTGAGTCTGACCACCTAATCTGGAGCCTTGCTCCAGCTCCCCCTGCTGTTGCAGCCCCTGGTTTCACCTCCTACAAATTACCGGCATTCGGTTTGCGGGGTGTGTGTGCAGTGCAGCATCTCTAATTCGCTCTTCCCACTGTCTCCAAAGGTGAGAGCGTGACTTGCCCGTAAGCCATGACGGTGATGGCTGTGCAGATGGGGGGCCTGGCCCTGTCGGTGCTGGGCTGGCTGGGCACCATCCTGACCTGTGCGCTGCCCATGTGGAAGGTGACGGCCTTCATTGGCTCCAACATCATCGTGGCCCAGGTGTTCTGGGAGGGGCTGTGGATGAACTGTGTGTACGAGAGCACAGGCCAAATGCAGTGCAAGGTCTATGACTCGCTGCTGGACCTCTCCTCGGACCTCCAGGCAGCCCGAGCCCTAGTTGTGGTCTCCATTGTGGTGTCCTTCCTTGCCCTCCTTATTGCCATCTTTGGGGCCGAGTGCACCAGGTGCGTCGATGACAAGGAGGCCAAGGCCAAGATCTCCATCACCGCCGGGGCTGTCTTCATTCTGGCCGGGATTGGGCTGCTCATCCCTGTGTCCTGGTCGGCCAACACCATCATCAGCAACTTCTACAACCCCATGGTGCCAGAGGCTTTAAAGAGGGAGCTGGGGGCTTCCCTCTATGTGGGCTGGGCCGCAAGTGCCCTCTTGGTGTTTGGGGGGGCCATACTGTGCTGCTCCTGCCCCCCCAGCCAAGATGCGCCATACCCCATGAAGTATAAAGTGGTGAAGCACTCCAGCCTGGGGAGCTATGCCCTTAAGAACTACGTGTGAGGAGCCCTGCCTTGCCCTCCCTGGAGACCCCCCTCTCGCCTCAGCCCATCCCACGTGCTCGCAGGGGCCCCTTTACAGCCATCCAAACAGATGTTGGCTTCAAGCCGAAGTATGTGAAATTTGTAGGGGTTCCCCTCCCAGTCTGGGTCCTGCCCCACATGTATCCTCCCACCTGCATCTCACCCCACCCGTCCCACCTCCCCACGCGTTTCCCTGCCTGCATCCCACCCTACCCATCCCACCTCCCGATGTGTATCCCCCTGCATCCCACCCCACCTCCCCATGCGTTTCCCTGCCTGCAGCCTATCGCACCCCACCATGTGTATCCCCCCTTGCATCCCACCTCCTCATGTGTATTTCCCCCACCTGCATCCCACTCAACCTGTCCCACCTCCCCATGTTGCCCCCCCACTGCATCCCACCCATCCCACTTCCTCGTGTATCCCCTCTGCATTCCACACCACACATCCCACCTACTCATGTGTATCCCCCCCCCCGCATCCCACCCCACATGTCCCACACATATTCCCTCCTTGCCCATGTCCCACCCCACTTGTCACCTCCCTACATGTATCCCCTCCTTGCTGGTGTCCTGCCCCATGCATCCTCCCTCCCTGCCCGTGTCCTGCTCCACATACCTCCTCCCCACCCACATCCCACTTGACATGTGCTCTCTCCCTGTCTATTCTGTTCTCTGTAGGCTCTTATACCACACGTACTCCCATAGTTTCTAAATGCCTTCTAGTCGGCCCACAAAGGCTGGTGGACCTGATCATCAGCCTGAGCCAATCAGGCACGTCCAGGTCAGTCTGTAGCCCTTTCCTCAGGGCTCTCTTTATTCTTTTTAACACAAAGAAGAAGCATGGAACAATAACAAAAAGTTACAATCCTGTTCTCAGCTGTGACTGTGGGGCCCCCCAGGCCCTGATAGCTTAAAGGGCTGGACCTTCCCCAGCCTGGAGCAGGGGGCACGGGGTTTCCTGCACTCTCACACAAGAGACCACACTCCAAACCCTCTGCTGGAGCTGGGCTCTCCTTTATATCCCCTGGCTGGGACTCATCAGCCCAATCAATGCTGCCCAGAAGGGCCAGACTGGCCAGTTCCAGTCCTTGCTTCCAGGGGAGGTCAGTGCAGGCCGGCTTTGGCCTGGGCCAGATCCCAGGGAAGCAGCTCCAGGGGACACAGGCAGCGGCTCCAGGCCCTTCGTTACTGGTATAACCAGCTGTGGAACAGGCAGCATTGAGGGACAGCCCCAGGAGGTTGGAGCCCCTGAGCCAGCCACAACCCCCCCGCAGCCCCTGACCCAGCCATGACCCCCCCACAGCTCCTGGCCCAGCCACAAACCCCCCGCAGTCCCTGCCCCACCCACAACCCCCCACAGCCCCTGACCCAGCAATGACCCCCCTACAGCCCCTGCCCAATCCACAACCCCCCAGAGCCGCTGCCTAGCCGTGACCCCCCCACAGGCCCTGCCAAATCCACAACCCCCCACAACCCTTGACCTAGCCATGACCCCCCCACAGCCCCTGCACAGCCATGACCACCACAGCCCCTGCCCAATCCACACCCCGCACAGCCCCTGCCCCAGCCACTATCCCCCATAGCCCCTGCCCAGACACGACCCCCCAAGGCCCCTGACCCAGCTACAACACCTCCACAGCCCCTGCTCCGTCCATGACCCCCCCGCACAGCTCCTGACTCAGCCATGATCCCCCCACAGCCCCTGACCCAGCCATTACCCCTTCACAGCCCATTCCCAGCAATGACCCCCCCACAGACACTAGCCAATCCATGATGTCCCCACAGCCCCTGCCCCAGCCTTGTCCCCCCAGCCCCTTCCCACTTCACAACCCCCCACAGCCCCTTCCCAGCCATGAGCCCCCCACAGCCCCTGGCCAATCCACGACCCCACATAGCCCCTGCCCAGCCATGACCCCCCGTGACGTTATTGACATAAACTGTGACCGTATAGGTCATTGTTGCAACCACTGTTATATATTTGCAGTAAATATTGTACAAAGGTTGTCGTGTGAGGTGTCTATGAAAAGGTTATGATTTGCTGGTTATGATTATGCTATCTGTGTGCGTGTGTCATTTTTGTATTTAAAGTTATAAGTATTGGCTCTATCCTGTCTGTATTTCAAACTTGTGCTATGCTTCTGGGTGACACCCCAGACAATGTGGCGTCAGCACTGCCTAGCCTGCTTGATGGCCCATTAAGGACCATCAGCTATACAATTGACCCATTGAGAGAAGGCAGATACGCCTTGCAACTCAGCAAAGTATGCAGGGACTGGCCTATGGACAGAACTCTAAGGTTTTTCCATGCCATGTGCTGGGTGGCTTGTGGTTGGAACAAAGAAAGCACAAGCCACATGGCAAAAGGACTATAAAAGGCAGCATCATCATCTCCATTTTGTCTTCAATCCTGTTTCTTACTTCTGGAGGAACCTTGCTACAAACTGAAGCTCTGAACAAAGGACTGAGGACCCATCCCAGCTGGGGATGTTCCAGAGACTTGATTTGAGCCTGCAGTTTATTCCACCATTGCTACAAGCCTGAACCAAGAACTTTGCCATTACTGTATGTAATTGATTCCATTTAACCAATTTTAACTCTCATCTATATTTCTTTCTTTTATGAATAAACCTTTAGATTTTGGATTCTAAAGGATTGGCAACAGAGTGATTTGTGGGTAAGATCTGACTTGTATATTGACCTGGGTCTGGGGCTTGGTCCTTTGGGATCGAGAGAATCTTTTTTCTTTTACTGGGGTATTGGTTTTCATAACCATTCGTCCCCATAATGAGTGGCACTGGTGGTGATACTGGGAAACGAGTGTCTAAGGGAATTGCTTGTGTGACTTGTGGTTCGCCAGTGGGGTGAGACCGAAGTCCTCTCAGTTTGGCTGGATCGGTGCCTTAATGGTAAAGGAAACCAAGCCTTGCGCTGTAACTGCCCTGCTCTAAGCAATTTGTACTAAATTGATACTATCAGTTGTGTCCCGCCAGAGGCAGCATCATTACACTCCCACAGCCCCTGCCCGATCCACACACCCAACATCCTCTGTTCCAGCCATGATCCCGCTGCAGCCCCTGCACAATCCACAGCCTCGCACAGCCGCTGCCCAGACATGACCCCCCACAGCCCTTGCCCAGCCACAACCCCCCGGACAGCTGCTGACCCAGCCATGATCCCCTCACAGTCCCATCCCAATCCACAACCCCCCACAGCCCCAGACCCAGCCACGACCTCTCCAACAGCCCCTGCCCAATCCACAACCCCCCCACCAGGGCCGGCTTTAAGCCAATTTGGGCGATTCCCCGGAATGGGGCCCCGCGCCTAAGAGGGCCCCGCAACGTCCGGAGCTGCCGGCGGAGCGAAAAAAAAAAAGCCGTGTCCTGCTTCCCGCCCCCCCCCCTCCAGCGTTTGTGCCACCATACAGCTGATCAGCGCAAGCCTGGGACGGAGGGGTGAGGAGGAGGAATGCGGCGTGCTTGGGGAAGAGGCGGGGCCAGGGTGGGGATTTGGGGAGGGATCCAATGGGGCAGGGAGGGGGCGGAGTCGGGGCGCGAGACAATTCGGCCCTGCCCCCCACAACTGCTGACCCAGCCATGACCCCCACACAGCCCCTGTCCAATCCACAACCCCCTGACCCAGCCATTACCCCTTTGCAGCCCCTGCCCAGCCATGACCCCCCCCCACAGACACTGGCCAATACACAACCCCTCCACTGCCCCTGACCCAGCCATGTGTGACGGAGCAGGGAGCAGGGCGGATTTGACCTGGGAATGTAGTCTGGGAGTTACATTGAGCTACCTGAGCTGTAACCTGAGCCAGGAGGGGGGTTGGGAGAAGTGACACCTTCTGCCCCGGAGAGGGAACAAAGGAGAGGAGGAGCAGAGGGGAGGGGGGAGAGAGCTGCTGGAGGGTTTTGGGGAGTTCTTCAGTTTTGGGCTGGGAGGTGCAATGCAGGGAACCCCAAGCTGGGGTCTAAGCTCCCTGCACTCCCCAAGAGGACTTGATTGAGGGGTCCTGGTTGTATCTACAAGCTCTGCTGTAGACTGTGTTCCTGTTATCCAATAAACCTTCCGCTTTACTGGCTGGCTGAGAGTCACGGTGAATTGCAGGAAGCCGGGGGTACAGGGCCCTGAGTCCCCCACACTCCGTGACACCATGACCCCCCACAGCCCCTGGCCAATCCATGACCCCCCACAGCCCCTGCCTAATCCATACCCTCCTCAGCACCCTGCTCAGCCATGACCCCCCCACAGGCCCTGTCAAATCCACACCCCCCCCAAGGCCCCTGACTGAGTCACAAGCCCCCCACAGCCCCTGCTCAGTCCATGACACCCCCACAGCCCATGCCCAGTCATGACCCCTCCACAGACAACTAGCC